TGTTATATTCCTAGATTTTCTCGCTTCACTTTTGTTTTAGTGGTTTGTCCTAGTCTTTAGGTAAATGGGTTGATTAAGGTGTATTATTGAATAAAGTGAAGTGAGGCGGACACTTAAGGAAGATCATAGTAGACCCACGAGTATATGATTAATAATTAGATTGTTAGACAATGATTTGTAGTAATTTGAATCTGTGGTGAATGTCCAGATCCACCCCAATTTGGAATAACGCGCAAAAAGAAAGGACAGGAGGAGTGCTAAGTACATAGCACCGTCCGAACGCAAGTTTGGCGTTCAGAGCAATACTAACGAGATTATGACGTCTGACGATGCCACGTTAATTCTCGAGGCATGAAGACCGTCTGGATGCAAATTTTCCCATCTGNTAAATCTGTGGTGAATGTCCAGATCCACCCCAATTTGGAATAACGCGCAAAAAGAAAGGACAGGAGGAGTGCGAAGTACATAGCACCGTCCGAACGCAAGTTTGGCGTTCAGAGCAATACTAACGAGATTATGACGTCTGACGATGCCACGTTAATTCTCGAGGCATGAAGACCGTCTGGATGCAAATTTTCCCATCTGGACGCGCATGTTTAACAGAGTTTTCACTATCCGGATTGTGGCCAAACCTTCCAGATGCACCTTTGCCATTATTTCTAGAGAGTTTCAACCGTCCGGGAAAAGCTGTCCAAATACAAATCTTATAGATGTTTTTGTGATTGCAGACAAATACACATAAGNTCCCATCTGGACGCGCATGTTTAACAGAGTTTTCACTATCCGGATTGTGGCCAAACCTTCCAGATGCACCTTTGCAATTATTTCTAGAGAGTTTCAACCGTCCGGGAAAAGCTGTCCAAACACAAATCTTATAGATGTTTTTGTGATTGCAGACAAATACACATAAGCGACTCTTTGACACGTCTTCCAAAATAATTTCAAGGGAGGGTGTGGATGCATGAAAATATTACATGCAAACAATATATGACACAAATTATGATAAAGAGATGTAGCAGGATAGAAAAAAACCAAAGATGCTAAGGAAAAGCTGAAGCAAAGCAATGCGAATTACCTGACGACACTGCAGCCTTGTTACTGCTTTTGACAATTCTATACACCTGCAACATCATTAGGTAGCATTAACAAATTAAGACCATTGGGTAGAGAGGGGAATAAAACCAAAAGGATTAAGAAAAAAGGAAAACCAAAATATTAGTAGTCCCATTGCTTCATCCTGACGTGAAGATTTTGATGTGATGAATCCTTTTTAGCAATGACTTCTTCTACAAACATGACCTAGGCCTTCTAGTGGTGTATATATATAGGACTTTTCTTGGGTTAGGGATTATCTTGCATTCCCTCTTCTACTTTATTTTCCAGATTTTTAAATCTGAGTAAATTTCTTTGTACTCTTTAGCCTAGGTTATGGATCTATAACTGTTTAATTGGTTATTATGTTTATGCAATTATTTTTATAGTTGTAATGGTAAATCTTTATGCTATCAAGATTGATTGAAGAATTTTTAGCTAAGTTTATACTATGTATAATTGTTTGATTGCCTATTAAAAAGATTGAGTTCTTGGTATAGTTAATACTTATGATTCCTTGCGAATTTATAAAACTAGTTCTTTAATTCTTATTTTTATATCAATCGAACCAATTGTTTTAAAAGTCATATTTTCCAGTTGACCACACTATCGTTGAAAGTTATTTAAGTTATTATAAATTGCATAATCATAATTATTCAATAAATAGGAGTAGATCCAGATCCCGAAGCTAGAGGGTCATCTTTTCAAATTGATATTTACCCTTTAAATATTTTGCAGTTATTTTTCAAGCGAATCACAATCATTAATTTAATTTTTATTTGTTAATAATCAAAAAAAAATCCTTTTTTTTTTGTTGGAGTCAAGATTTGGAGGAGAGAGATGATAAACATTAGTGGATAAAGAGTAATGTTATACAACTAAAACGAAATTCAAAAAATTATAACTCAAATGCATATCATCTTTTGAATGAGTGAGTCTCATTAACTTTTTGAGTGGGACACTCTCATCCAACATTCATCCAATTAATGATATGTATTTAAATTACATTTTTTGAATTTCATTTGGATTATATTGTATTTTTCATGGATAAAAGTGTCATTAAGAGAAAGAGAAATTAAAAAAAAAATGGATTTTTTAGGTGTGGGTACAATTTTCAATACTTATTTGAGCAAAAGTGAATGGATAAATGGTTTATTCTATTAAGTACAGTTTTTATAAAAATTGTTATGTTTAGGTACAAAATTCAAATGAATTAAAATCTTTTTAACTTAAACACCCTTTCTTATTTTATGCAGCCATGATTGACAGTTATTTTAGAAAACGAATATTTAAATATTACATATTTGTTATCTTCTTAATTTTTGAATTTTGAATAAGCAGTTTTGCGAGAGATTTATGCATCTATTGACAGTTATTTTAGAAAACAAATATGTAATCTTTACATATTTGTTATCTTTATTTTTTTTGAATCAAACGTATGTGTTCAACTGATATGTCTTCTTTAACATAAGTCATCTTCAACTTGTTCAATTGACAAGTCTTCTTCAACATAAGTCTTCTTCAATGACGATTTATTTCTAAGGTGGTAAATTTATTCGAAAAAAGGAACTACAAATACCAATCACCGTCATCAACTGAAAGATTAGTTGTTAGTAATTATATTTTTTCTTTTATTTTGTCATTTTTTTTTTGGGAAATTCCTATATTCGATTTTGTTTTATGTTTGTTCATTGTTGAAATGAAAGAAAAAAAAAAAACTGCAATGGGTGTAACTATTTTTTCTTAGACATAATAAATATATTTCTTCTTTTATTCAGTTTTTTTTTTTAAATGACTATGTTCGATTTTGTTTTATGTTTGTTCATTGTTAGAATGAAGGGGAAAAAAAAAACTACTTTTGATTTTAATGGATGTAACTATTTTTTCGTATAGATATAATAAATATATTTTTTCTTTTATTTGGTCTTTTTTTTTGGAAAATTCCTATGTTCGATTTTGTTTTGAATGAAGGGAAAAAAAATTGATTTGTTTGAATGGGTGTAATTGTTTTTAATTGGTTTAATTATTTTTTAATAGGTGTAACTGTATTTTTAATAGTTGTAACTGTATTTTAATGAATATAACTATGTTTTAATGGGTGTAACTGTGTCAATACAGTTTCAATCACTAATTTTTGAATATTAATAGTTTGCGATTTGTGATCACAAATAGTTACTTAAAACAGTTACGTAACTATTTTTATTCAAAAAATTAAACAACACAGATTATGGGAAAAAAAATATTAATGAATGACAAAAAAACAAAAATGAATGTCACCTACAATTTTTGGTGAAGAAGTTGCCGAAGATGATTCACAGTTACTTGACCGTAAGACACGATGAACAGTCCCAAACTAATTTAAAATCAATTATAAAGTATGATACTTGATTATTCTAATATAAACTAATTATCATTTCATGTTTTTTTTAAAGGGAAATAGACGTGGCAATTTTTTTTTTTAAAAAAAAGATTAAAAAATAGAAGATAAGGAAGAAGATAAGAGCAAAGAAGAGACGTGAGGTGTGGGAATAGCCAAAAAAAACGGATGGAAGATAATTGGTTTTCATATATTTACTGTTTATTGATGACAATAATGGTATTTTAAAAAAATATACACTTTACCAAAAATAAGTATTTTTAGGTAAATAAACCTAAAAAATTGTATCAACTTCTTAATTGCCCAAAAAGGATCGTGGCAGATAAACCCATATACAATAACAGGGTTTTACTTATTTTTGCCGCCACGTTGTCTCGCTGCACTCTTTACCTCGTATGTTCGTGCTGGGAGAAAGTGTTAATCCTTGCTTCTGATTTTCCCATTTTTAGGAAAAATATTGAAGTAAAAAAGGATATCCTACGGGCCGTGCAATAAGCCTTCTTGATCATACTTCATGCCTCTATCCCATTAAGCAGCAACCTCCATAAAATTCATACATCTGGAAAACTCGAGGCCTATTTGGTTTACGTTTCAAACAATAGTATTCGAAAATAATTTTTAAGAAGAGTTTTAAGAAAATGATTTTGATATTTTTTTAGATAAAAAACTTATTTAGTTAGATGTTTACAAAAACAATTTTACAATACAAAAAATAGTAAAACCCTTTTAGATAGTCTAAATATATATTTAAATAATAATTCAAACATTAATAAAAAAATTATACTCATATCTGAACATCCAAAATTGTTCTCCTTGTCTCCAAAATTTTCAAAAAAAATTTTGAACACAAACTACACTTGTTTTCTGTTTCTTTGACTTAAATCTCATTTTTTCCCAAAATTTAGAGAACAAAAATACTAAACAAACAGGTTTTATGTGTTTACGAAATTTTTAGAACAAAAAACAATTTCCAAAAATTAAACCAAACATGGCCTCAGTTTTTACTGTTTTCCACCCGCAGAAACTGATTTTATTTATAATAGATAAAACATTTCTCTTATAATAAACCCAAACTGGCTTATTTGGTTGCTACTTGCCACGCAAACCAGGAATCAGAGCATTCCCCTGGACTGGTTTATGAATCCTTCACAGAAGGTGATGCAACTGATCCTAAGTCAGAGAGGACATTGGATAGTGAGAAATATTGCAACAACTTTTATTGTAACTGCTTTTATTATAGTTTATGTTATAGAACGAACCAAAAAAAAAAAAAACCCCCAAACTAGAGGAATTGGTAAGAATATTTGGTAAACATAGCATTTCTCTTATACTAAACCCAAACTATGTTGAAAAATAAGTTACACTGCTATATTTGCACAAACTCTAGTTACATAACAAATAGAGCAACATCAAAAAAAAAAACAAAAACAAAACAAAACAAAACCAGAAGCAAACCAGTTCAATCCCAAATCAAGCAGCAGAGAGAAGGAATACCCTGTCTGACCCACATGATTCAATGTGAATCCTGTTATTAACTAACAGGAGCCTCAGATACTATTTTCTCGCTTTCTTCTGTGGTTTCCACTGCAGCAGCCACTGGGCTGCAACTTTCAGAGATCGTGTCACTCCTGGAAGCAATAGCGTTGTTGATTACTGTAACCTCACCCACAGTTGTTGAGGAGCTTGTAGGAGTGTTGGAACCAGAAGCATGCTCGTCAAGTTGGTTTGGCCTATTCAGGGCGTTGCAATGTGGGCAGTAGTAAGTTATATATGGAAAATCCTCCTTCCTCACAAGCCCTGCAAACAAGTAAAGAAATCATATTAGTTGTACTATTAAATCCTGAAATGTATCAACCTCAGTGTGCTGAGAGTGATTCCTTTTTCTTTTTTTCCTTCCATTCCTTGTTTTTTTTTTTTCCTTCACTTCAAAAGGAAGGGAGGGGAGGATGGGCCCAGAATAAATGTTTAAAAATATCAAACAATGTGCAGTGCAATCAGAGAGGCTATGGTGCTACAAATCATAAAAGCGTGTTCACTGCAGCCCACTCACCATTGTGCATATGGCAGTTGCCACATATAAGTGCATAAGATTGTGTTGGATCCTCTCCCACGAGCAATGCTGCAATTCGAGCAATCCATCCTCCATCATGTGTGATCAATCCTGTTTGACCATGTTCGACCACCAACTGATTATGCTCAGAAATCTCAGGCCCCTCAGATCCTGCCAAACGAATCATTTCTTCATTGGACTGATGCAACACAGTACTCTCTGTGCTACTGGATCTGGTAAGAGATTGCTTCCTATTACGAATCCCACTGGATTTCACAATTTCAAAATCATGACTCTGTCCTGTAGGGTCATTAAGCTTAGACTCATCTCCCATGTATAATTTCAAGCCAGAATCTGCACCCAACTTGGACGCAAGGACAGTTGCAGCAGCTGCCTTTGCTGCTGGGTCAGGGTCATATCTCTGCAGCAAAGACCAAACGATTAGGACATGCATTCAAGCTAGACAAACAATGCGGTAAAGGTCAATATATGAAGCTTCCCCCCACCCATTATCCATACAAGAGCATCAATCATAAGCATTCAGATTTGGATTTTGTCCCCCCCCCCCCCTTCCCCTCCCAACATGTGGGGGGGCTTCTCAAAATGTCCTTTGGATCTGTCTCCAAACATGGCACGTATTTAAAACATTTGGCCATCGGCCCAGGATGCAATTTCACACGAGTTTATCACGGCAACTCTCCTGCATTGGTGTCAATATCCTAAGAAGCACGCTGTACCACATCCACTTTTTCAACTGATAGTTCAACCTCATTATGAATAATCCACATCGTTTAGCAACTATGGTCATCTAAACTACATTATTTTTCAGGTAAGTACATCTATAATACATTATTAAGAGTAAAAGAATGAAAATGAAACTCAAAATGCTCAATTGTACCTCGCATGAACATTTCTACAATTCCTCATATGATATTCGAGTCTCTATCTATAACTAATGAATTACTAAGCAAAAATAAGAAACTTCATGTCTCTTGAGACTTTACCTAACTAGTAGAGTTTTTTTTAACCAATAATTTTTAACTAATGAATTGCTAAACAAAAATAAGTAACTTCATGTCTCTTGAGACTTACCTAACTAGTAGAGTTCTTTTTAACCAATATAAAATTATCTGAGAAGTAATACAAAAGGAATAGACTATGACTAGCTTCTAGTTATCACCTGAATGAGCTGTTGTGTAGAATAGTAGTTTGTCTTCTCTTTAAGTTCGTCAATCTTCGCTTGCCTTTCAGCTCGAAGCCTTTCCAAAGCTTTCTGGTCCTTGCGATCACCTATGGGATCACATGTAAAGATATACATCAGTAAAATAGACCATTAATGAGCAGGAGGCCACTACACAGTATTTCAACACAGTTCAAAGGTATAGTATATTATCCTTCCCTCCAACCCAATACAGAGACGCATGCACACTTCAGAGGAGGAGGAAGTTTAAGTTGATGCACAACCCTGGTCAGTAAAAATCAACTTGCAGAGTGATGCAGCTAATATNGCTCAATCCTGTTTGACCATGTTCGACCACCAACTGATTATGCTCAGAAATCTCAGGCCCCTCAGATCCGGCCAAACGAATCATTTCTTCATTGGACTGATGCAACACAGTACTCTCTGTGCTACTGGATCTGGTAAGAGATTGCTTCCTATTACGAATCCCACTGGATTTCACAATTTCAAAATCATGACTCTGTCCTGTAGGGTCATTAAGCTTAGACTCATCTCCCATGTATAATTTCAAGCCAGAATCTGCACCCAACTTGGACGCAAGGACAGTTGCAGCAGCTGCCTTTGCTGCTGGGTCAGGGTCATATCTCTGCAGCAAAGACCAAACGATTAGGACATGCATTCAAGCTAGACAAACAATGCGGTAAAGGTCAATATATGAAGCTTCCCCCCACCCATTATCCATACAAGAGCATCAATCATAAGCATTCAGATTTGGATTTTGTCCCCCCCCCCCCCTTCCCCTCCCAACATGTGGGGGGGCTTCTCAAAATGTCCTTTGGATCTCTCTCCAAACATGGCACGTATTTAAAACATTTGGCTATCGGCCCAGGTGCAATTTCACACGAGTTTATCACGGCAACTCTCCTGCATTGGTGTCAATATCCTAAGAAGCACGCTGTACCACATCCTCTTTTTCAACTGATAGTTCAACCTCATTATGAATAATCCACATCGTTTAGCACCTATGGTCATCTAAACTACATTATTTTTCAGGTAAGTACATCTATAATACATTATTAAGAGTAAAAGAATGAAAATGAAACTCAAAATGCTCAATTGTACCTCGCATGAACATTTCTACAATTCCTCATATGATATTCGAGTCTCTATCTATAACTAATGAATTACTAAGCAAAAATAAGAAACTTCATGTCTCTTGAGACTTTACCTAACTAGTAGAGTTTTTTTTAACCAATAATTTTTAACTAATGAATTGCTAAACAAAAATAAGTAACTTCATGTCTCTTGAGACTTACCTAACTAGTAGAGTTCTTTTTAACCAATATAAAATTATCTGAGAAGTAATACAAAAGGAATAGACTATGACTAGCTTCTAGTTATCACCTGAATGAGCTGTTGTGTAGAATAGTAGTTTGTCTTCTCTTTAAGTTCGTCAATCTTCGCTTGCCTTTCAGCTCGAAGCCTTTCCAAAGCTTTCTGGTCCTTGCGATCACCTATGGGATCACATGTAAAGATATACATCAGTAAAATAGACCATTAATGAGCAGGAGGCCACTACACAGTATTTCAACACAGTTCAAAGGTATAGTATATTATCCTTCCCTCCAACCCAATACAGAGACGCATGCACACTTCAGAGGAGGAGGAAGTTTAAGTTGATGCACAACCCTGGTCAGTAAAAATCAACTTGCAGAGTGATGCAGCTAATATGTTTTCACATTTTAACAAGTATAGGAATGAATTCATAAATAGAATGATATCCATTAATCTAATGAGCAAATGAAGAGTATGGCCAAAAACAATATAATAGAACCAGTTCTGTCATTTTAATCACCAGATATAAGATTCTTTTTCCTCCTATCATTTATAGCCTTATGAAACAAGTTTGAATTATGGTCCCTCTCTTTAACCCACTTGAACTTGGCCTTTTGTCTCCATGAAATCTCTTCTTTAAACACCACTTCCTCAAAATTATTTCTAAGAAAACACCTTGCCTTTCTCTAACCTATCCAACTCCTCAATACAATTTATTATTTTTTTTCTTTTTTCACACCTTCAACTTCTGTTTCACATGTTCCAACTTCATTATAAATTTAATACCTTCCCACCCATGCACTAAGCAACCTTGCCACCACGACTTACAACTACTTTTAAACAAATGATGCTCTAACCATATTTTCGCATCAAAATGGTATTGGTCCCCACGTAAGCTAGTTAAATCTTAGCAAAATAGGATAGTGATCAAACACTACTCTAACTGAAGCCTCAAGCCTCACATGAAGAAAGCACTCTTCCAACACAAATGAGAACAAAACCTATCTAACCTACGACACACCAAATTTGATCTAAAATTTGACCAAGAGCAAAATATGTAAACGGGGATCACTCAAATTTTTTTCCTGATCAACTCATTGAAACATCTGATACTTCTAGTTATCCTACTGCCATACGACTTCTCGGACACAAATCTGGCAACATTAAAATCACCCCAAAAATATCATCTAAGATCGCGTATACCATACAAGCTTACTAACTCACCCCAAAAATTCCTCCTAATCCCCGATCTATTAGGCTCATAAATTCCCGATAACCATTAGTCTCCCCCATCTTTCATTTTACAATGTACCAACATTGAAAAACTCCCATAATACTAACTCTATAGCTGACGTAACTCTAGCATCAAATACCCATTCTTTGAACCTAAACCCCAAATATTAACAACAACCCTAGGGCTAATGACCCCCTTTTTTTGCCTCTTGTAACCCCAAAACCTTCTCACCCTGCCACAAAAGGTTAAACCACTACCCTTATATTCCAAAATTTTACATTCCCTTAAATCGTTCCTATCTCTAACCCCCTTCCCTTTAATCGCTTTTCTCCTCTTCCATTACAAGGCACCAAGGAGAGGTCCATAGGAGCCAGAAAATCTTTCAGCCTACCCATCCCTTCTAATCTAAAAGATTTTCTTATCACTTGGGTTTCAATCTAAGTTCTATTGGTTTTCTAGTTGTTTGGAAAATAAGACATGCTTAATTGGCTAACAATTTAAAATGTCCTATTAACATTTTATGCCCATGTGATAATTATGTATCTAGTGAATCTAGGGCAACATCATAAAATATCAAACTGACTCAACAACTTTTGCAGTTTGAAATCTTTCTGGAGCTCAAACTAGTAAACTACATTTTTCTGTAATAAACATAACAAAGCCCCAAGTAATTACATCCAGGGAAGACCGAACAACTGTTTATGCTTATATAACCTCAAAATCCCCGCTCAATTACCATAGGATAAATAAACAATCAGAAAAAGGAGAAAAGAATAAAATACAATTCCAAATAAATATGCTGAAATTATTCCCAAAGGAATTGTTCTGCTGATAAGAACCATGTTGATCCAAATGTTAAGTACTCACTGAAACAACTCTTTTTAACTAAAAATTGTGTGAATTAAGTAAACTAAAGAAACCAATGATAAAGGAAACTAAAGAATGGAGAGTGGCAGTAAATCATGAAATAATTAGTCAATGGAAATATTAGGGGCTCTACAAAAGAAAGGACAGACTTGGCACCCAAACAAGAGGTAGTCCAAAGAAAGATGTATTAGAAGAATAATTGACAAACAAAATATAGAAATGGAAGAGAAGAGGCAGGCAGAAGGAAAGGTGTAGGGGACTTATAACTTCCTGGGAATGCTATAATCATATGAAGAGTTGAAGCACACTATTTGTCACAGCTTAGTCAATCTAAAAGACATTTCGTGGAGTAAAATTTTAAAGCAACAACTTTGAACATGATAGGGCATGAGAGCACCGCAAGTGTGTCAATACTNAGTGTGAAAGCAACAACTTTGAACATGATAGGGCATGAGAGCACCGCAAGTGTGTCAATACTAATGAGAACATATGACCATTTTGACAGATTATAAACTAATATTTGCTGAGTATTTTTGCCTCTTTCTGCAATAAATACTGGTGCAAGTTTTCACATAATCATCAGCTACACCATCATCATGTAGGTGATTTCAGAATGAAAGGTACAAAAAAAAGCAACCGCATTTCATAACCAAGTTAATAAATATCACTGTAAAGGCCATTAGGCCACTGGTATTTTCATTTTAAACTTACATTTCCAATGGTAATAGCTGTTTGCATAAGTTTAACAGCTAAGAAAATATAATGTGCTCATTCAATTTGATAATGAAGAGCTAAGACTAGAGAATTTGATATCATGGTTTGAAGGATTCTGTAAGTTCTGATGCAACCTTACCATAAGGGTTTGCTTCCTAGAGGAAATCTAGGCAGAAGACATTTCCTTCATTCGTCTTCCTCTTCTTCTACCATTTCAGCACCCAAAAACCATTTTTAAACAAATCAATCCCTCGTTCCATCAATGATGTTATCCCAGCAACCCCGTACCCTAAACATGAAAGAAGCCACTGCTGATTTAAACATTCACATTTCCCAGCATAGCCCCTATCTCAGGCCCAAACTCCATCCCATCAACACTTCCACTCTTTCCCTTTCCTTTTGGCTTTTGGTTTAACACTGACAAACCGTCACTCCTTGCCATCCAAACTAACCAGCAAAATCTAGTAACTTTCCAATACCAAATCTCATGATAAAGGAAATTGTCCAAGCATTAGTCCGTGTGTGATAGAGCTGCCTTACATCAAATACACTATTATGTCTTTCAAAAGTAAAACTAACAAGCATCATAGCAATGTCTAAATCAAATCCAGATCCTTCCACCTCACAGAGGATGTTATTGCTTATAAATCAATACACGTCTTAATATTCTAGCATGTTGCAACAGCAGCTTTTTATCCATTTTTAAATCCAGACCGTTCCAATGGATACATTTCTCTGAATAAGCAAGTTTATCCTTTTGGAGTTGGTCATCCATTTTTTTTTCCTTTTCTTTTGGGGATCTAGGTCATAGTTTCAATTTTCTAGTAGCCTTAGGTTTGAATTTAGAAACCTCTGTGCACAACAGTCAACTTAGCTTTTAAATTATCAAGCATATAAGCATTTGAAAGATGAAGTTTAACCATCTATACAAGGTTTTATAAGCATTGNCGTAGGAAGCTCGCAAGCCTATAACAAGCCTCAGCTGCCACACGAAAATAAGCCGATAACAAGTGCTAGGGTTTTTGAAGCCTATAATAAGCCTCGGCAGCCACACAAAAATATGCATCTAATTACCCCTGAGTAGCTAATGGAATCGGAACCTCTGTTAGTTCAAGTTCCGCGGCGTAGGCAGCTTGCAAGCCTATAATAAGTCTCAGCTGCCACATAAAAATAAGCCTATAACAACTGCTTGGGGTGTTTGGCTCTAAGATCTTGGCTCTCCTTCACTCCTTCTCCCTCCTCTCTATCTGCTTCTTCTCTTCTTCCTTATCTTTTTCATCTTGCTATCATCTCAGGTTCTCCATTCTTTCTTCTATCTACCATCTATTCTCTGATCTCTCTTGCATCTTTCCCCTCTATTGGACCTCTTGTCCTCCCCCTCCTTGTAAATCCATACATTTCTCTGTCGTCTTCTCTCTTTCTTCCTATGGACTGGGGAACATACCACCCCCCAAAAAAAATTCCAATACCTAAGATTTGTTTCTTATTTATTTTGTTTCCTTCTCCTCCCTTTCTTCTTGTGTCCTTTGAATGATGTATATATAAAATCATCGGTTGCGCTCGCTCCACAACCTACCTTGACAGATTATTCCTATCTCCTCAAGAAATAACTAGCTTATTTGCAACAACAAATCAGTATAGCTTCTGTGTCCTCCATATGTTTGATGAATTTAGTACAACAGCCCAGCTACAGCAANCCTGTGTCCTTTGAATGATGTATATATAAAATCCTCGGTTGCGCTCGCTCCACAACCTACCTTGATTATTCCTATCTCCTCAAGAAATAACTAGCTTATTTGCAACAACAAATCAGTATAGCTTCTGTGTCCTCCATATGTTTGATGAATTTAGTACAACAGCCCAGCTACAGCAACAAAGTCATCTTATATGTGTTTGACAAAAATTGTGTGTGAGGTTCAATCTATCAGAAAAGTTCTGTCACTCTCAGGCTGCATATAATCTTGCCATACGTATCCAGGAAAATAAGAATGAATAAGCAGCAGTTTATTTTATTTCTTCTAGTATGCAGCCAAAATGTGCAACACATAAATATGCATATAGCTTACATGCAACGTACACCATTATCATTGATGTAATCAGGTCTCCAAAGTGCTGAACAAGTATTATATAAATAATCGATGGNATCTTATATGTGTTTGACAAAAATTGTGTGTGAGGTTCAACCTATCAGAAAAGTTCTGTCACTCTCAGGCTGCATATAATCTTGCCATACGTGTCCAGGAAAATAAGAATGAATAAGCAGCAGTTTATTTTATTTCTTCTAGTATGCAGCCAAAATGTGCAACACATTAATATGCATATAGCTTACATGCAACGTACACCATTATGATTGATGTAATCAGGTCTCCAAAGTGCTGAACAAGTATTATATAAATAATCGATGGTGGATGCAGAGGGATGGGCAGGGGAGATCAGGCCCCCAAGCTTCTAAAAATCTGTCTTGCGTCTGTAACAGCCCAGTATTAAAGGCCCCATTGAGAAAGTGTTGCCCCTACTAATCTTCAAATATGCATTTGAAGATCACTGTGATGTTTCACATAATCATTTGGTGTATGTACATGACAAGTTCTCGTTCATGATTCCCTAGATATCCAAATTCTTCCTCCAAGCATGTTGGACAGCATATTTTTCTTTTATTCCCATCTGATAACCATTAAATAACCTATCAAGCAGCAAGTGAAATGTTTTCTAACAAGTTCATTAGTCTCTAGGGTTCTTGGGGATTACAAAGATATTCAATTAATATGATGGGAAGATCTAAGACAGTGGTGGCAACTAGGGGTATGCGATGAAGGGGTAGAACATTTACGTAAACAGGCTAAGACATTGAACCAGTTATGGAAACAGTGATGATTGTGTTTATGGCACCAAGATCAACATCCATATCAAATGGTGAAGGCATTCAAAGAAACTGAAAAATTGGAACCTTCACTTAAACAAAGAGAGAGGAAAAGCACATACACACAAAGTGGACAGTAGTTATTGTGTTTCTATGATGGATGTGTCAAGTGTAATGCACCAGTCATGGGAATCAGTGGGGAGAGTATGGATCATCTTTTTCTCCATTGGCCTCTTATTGCAACACTGTGGAATAGTCTGTATTTGGAGTTAATGTTGACATGGGTTCCACCTCACATCTATGTGCCGCTGTCTGTGGATGTTTTTGCAGGTAATGGGAAGAATAAAGGGCCTCAATTGTTTGGAAATGTGGGACTATGACTATCTTATGTGTGGTTTAGCTGGAAATGAATTGTATGATATTTGAAAGAAAGATAAATCCGTTGATTGCCGTTGGGATAAAGAAAAGCTTTTGGTTTACATATGGGCTTGAATAATGAGGCAATGGGATGATACTTTTTTTCATTAAATTGTGCATTGCAGTGGTCAGTATTAGATAATCATGGCTGTAATTTCCCAACTTCTTGTATTTGTCTGGACTTACTTGTCCAACTTGACATTTCTGTAATCTTTTGCCTTTCATTTTTAGGAAAATTCGTTGTTTCTCCTAGAAAAAGGCCATGGGAGGTCTAGTAGAACTCAAGAAAATTTAAACGATGAGTAAATTACCACAATAAATAAATATTGCATGTTCTGAAAACCAAACACTAATCAACTACTCAGTGGTTGGAACAAATCCAATTCTCATCAACTAGTCATGATTGGAACAAAGCCAGACCAAACACGATTCATGAAATTATCAAAGGCATTGATAGTAGAAAAAGAAGAGCAGCTTTTACCTCAAATATTACAGAGAAAATGATGAGATCCCTTGCCATCCTCCGCCAACTTTGAGAGCGCTTCTTCATTCTAACGAGCAAAGCAGCCTCTTCCTTGGAAATATGTTGCAGTCGCTTCTCGAAATCATCGCCTCCATGTAATCTGATTAATCTGTTCCATATTCTAGATATTACTCCTCTTTTCTTCTTATTCTCCTTCGTTTCAGTACCTTTGGTTGTAGTCATTTCCCCAACAGTATCTTCTTGGTCCTTCTTGGACTCCCCAGCCAGAGCCATTTCCTACAGAACATATCAAAGGCAGCGATTATCATCCCATTTCCATGGAAAAACCATAAAATTGATGCTTTTAGCGATTTCAGATCCAGATCATGGTCCTAAGATGGTTCGTTTCGTTTCGAATTGATTGTAATACGTACCGTCTCTACACAAAACCCAAAGAAGGATTAGATTGGAGATCTGCGAGAATTCACGTACCTGGGATTAGGGCTTTTCGCTCTTCTTCTTCCTCTTCTTTTCTGTTTTCTTATATTCGCAGCAAATGAAACCAAAATCAAAGCTCGAAAGCTCCCAATATCTTGTAGGGGTTCTTTGATTCAAATAAGCAATTGGGGTTTTGATGATAGGAGACTCGGAAAATCAATCACCCAATAGACGAATACTTTGTGGGAAAGCAATTGTTTTTTAACTTTTTTCCCTGATCCATGAGACGAAGCAATTGTGAAGCGGGAATAAAGTGTTACATTTAATCGCAAATCTGTTGTTAGAATAAATAAGTGGTACTTTTAATAATTATTTTCATAATTGGGTTAAGCTCAAATTACATCCATTGTTCGAATCACAATTTATATTTTATAAGATTAAAAATTTTAATTTAGATCCTCAAAATAGAATTTACATTAATACGTACCTCAAGTTCACGCCATCAGTTTGTTACTTAAAATTAAATAAATAAATTACATCTAGATCCTTTCATACTTATTACTTAATCATTAAGATCACTCATATTTAAAATATTACACCTATATCCCTTTAAAATTCAAATATAATTAAAAATATTCCCCCAATTATGCATCCAAATAATTTTATTTGAGTGATATATTGCATTAGATATAAAGAATATTATATAAATACATGCATTATATTAGACTTTCAAATGATAAGTTTGGTTTTGAGTTTTAGAGTATAACAGATTTACAAAATAAAGAGTAGTATGAAAAATATAATTTTTTATTAAGATAAAATTATATTTTTTTAACAGTTATATTAACAGATATCATCTGCAAATGATTATGTGTTACACGTGCACAAACGTTAGGAGACGTAGAAGTAATATTTTAAATATAACAAGTCCAAATGATTAAGTGACATGTATGGAGGGATCTGTGTATAATTTATCTATTTAGTTTTAGACGACAAACTAATGAATGCTAATTTTAGGTGCGCATTGATACAAATGTTTATCTTTTAGGGTATAAATTAAGATTTTTTATCTTTAAGAATATAAATTAAAATTCGAATAATCTTTTTGGGGTGTAATTTATGATTAACCCTTCATAATTTACTAAAAAATGTTTCCATAAAAATTTGAACTGGAAATTATTTTTTGTCATGCTATAAAACTATACATCCCAAATGATTTTATTAAATGTATCCTAATGATACGGGGAAATCTTAATGAAATGATTTTATCCCAAATGATTTGATAAAAAAAAACAATTTTATAAGAATAGCATGTATAGTTGTACAATAATTTTTAAGGGTAAATTACACGGGTTAATCTCACTTTATATTTTAAAAGATATTTTAATTCTTAATTTGTGCCCATATAGAATTAGAAAATTGAATATTTCACTCTGGAATTAGGCTACATTGCATTTATTTTATAATATTATGGGTATAATTTAAGAATTTAATTCTTTAAGAGAGAAAATTAAGAATTGGAGTATCTGAAGGTGCAAAGTAAGATTAGCCCAAATTGCAATGGCACCCCTTCCGGTTTATAAAAGTTTTATTGCATCCCTGTTGTTTTTAAAATCCAACTGACACCATAATTTGTGTCGTGAGCCCAAGTTGGTTGACGGAAGGTATGAGTTGTCAATTTTACCCTCACAATTTTGTTATAAATCTAAACAAACAAAATAATGCTAAACATGGTTAATTCGAATCCTATTGCTAAACTCCCTGATCCAACTATTAAACAATCATTTCTCAAAAAAAAAAAAAAACTATCAAACAATCTTTGATATTTTTTTTTTAATATTCAAACTTGCGTCGACTACTCTCTCTAACTCAGACACTAGTCATCGTAGCTCGAACGGGTTTAAAGCATGTCCTCTTAAGGAATAAGAGNACTTGCGTCGACTACTCTCTCTAACTCAGACACTAGTCATCGTAGCTCGAACGGGTTTAAAGCATGTCCTCTTAAGGAATAAGAGTGACTGAGCCTTAAAAGATACAAAAAATATTAAATCTGAAACCTCTAAACAAACCCTAAAAGTTAACAATCTCAGATTCATTGTCAAACAAATNAAGTGGTACTTTTAATAATTATTTTCATAATTGGGTTAAGCTCAAATTACATCCATCGTTCGAATCTCAATTTATACTTTATAAGATTAAAAATTTTAATTTACATCCTCAAAATAGAATTTACATTAATACGCACCTCAAGTTCACGCCATCAGTTTGTTATTTAAAATTAAATAAATAAATTATATCTAAATCCCTTCATACTTATTACTTAATCATTAAGACCACTCATATTTAAAATATTACACTTACATCCCTTTAAAATTCAAATATAATTAAAAATGNATATTTAAAATATTACACCTATATCCCTTTAAAATTCAAATATAATTAAAAATGTTCCCCCAATTATGCATCCAAATAATTTTATTTGAGTGATATATTGCATTAGATATAAAGAATATTATATAAATACATGCATTATATTAGACTTTCAAATGATAAGTTTGGTTTTGAGTTTTAGAGTATAACAGATTTACAAAATAAAGAGTAGTATGAAAAATATAATTTTTTATTAAGATAAAATCATATTTTTTTAACAGTTATATTAACAGATATCAGCTGCAAATGATTATGTGTTACATGTGCACAAACGTTAGGAGATGTAGAAGTAATATTTTAAATATAACAGGTCCAAATGATTAAGTGACATGTATGGAGGGATCTGTGTATAATTTATCTATTTAATTTTAGACGACAAACTAATGACTGCTAATTTTAGGTGCGCATTGATACAAATTTTTATCTTTTAGGGTATAAATTAAGATTTTTTGTCTTTAAGGNTGCGCATTGATACAAATTTTTATCTTTTAGGGTATAAATTAAGATTTTTTATCTTTAAGAATATAAATTAAAATTCGAATAATCTTTTTGGGGTGTAATTTATGATTAACCCTTCATAATTTACTAAAAAATGTTTCCATAAAAATTTGAACTGGAAATTATTTTTTGTCATGCTATAAAACTATACATCCCAAATGATTTTATTAAATGCATCCTAATGATACGGGGAAATCTTAATGAAATGATTTTATCCCAAATGATTTGATAAAAAAAAACAATTTGATAAGAATAGCATGTATAGTTGTACAATAATTTTTAAGGGTAAATTACACGGGTTAATCTCACTTTATATTTTAAAAGATATTTTAATTCTTAATTTGTGCTCATATAGAATTAGAAAATTGAATATTTCACTCTGGAATTAGGCTACATTGCATTTATTTTATAATATTATGGGTATAATTTAAGAATTTAATTCTTTAAGAGAGAAAATTAAGAATTGGAGTATCTAAAGGTGCAAAGTAAGATTAGCCCAAATTCCAATGGCACCCCTTCCGGTTTATAAAAGTTTTATTGCATCCCTGTTGTTTTTAAAATCCAACTAACACCATAATTTGTGTCGTGAGCCCAAGTTGGTTGACGGAAGGTATGAGTTGTCAATTTTACCCTCACAATTTTGTTATAAATCTAAACAAACAAAATAATGCTAAACATGGTTAATTCGAATCCTATTGCTAAACTCCCTGATCCAACTATTAAACAATCATTTCTCAAAAAAAAAAAAAAAAAAACTATCAAACAATCTTTGATATTTTTTTTTAATATTCAGACTTGCGTCGACTACTCTCTCTAACTCAGACACTAGTCATCGTAGCTCGAACGGGTTTAAAACATGTCCTCTTAACGAATAAGAGTGATTGACCCTTAAAAAATATAGAAAATATTAAACCTAAAACCTCTAAACAAACCCTAAAAGTTAACAATCTCAGATTCATTGTCAAACAAATNACTGAGCCTTAAAAGATACAAAAAATATTAAATCTGAAACCTCTAAACAAACCCTAAAAGTTAACAATCTCAGATTCATTGTCAAACAAATAACACTTCTCTGTTGTCAGTTGTAGTCTCCACCACCTTTCTTCTCACGCACGGACATATCATGTTATGTCTGTTTTTGTATATAATTTCGAATGTAGTTGTTAGTGGTTATTTACTTAATGTGTTAGTGAGGTAATATTAGTAGGTAGTTTTTTAAGTGGTTAATTGAAGTCATGGGTTAGATTAGTTATTAAAATAATTGTTATTATTTTATATTTAATGCCTTTCTATGAATGAAAAATAATATTAAATTTGAGATAAACTTCCTTATGTAAGGTTTGAAGGCTTGGTTCTCCTCAAAGTGAGAACCACCAAAAGTTTCGCCCCTCCTCGAAATGGGTCTGTCTTTCCCCCAATTCTATCACGCCTCAATTTCCACAATAAAAACTTGAACTAACTATTAACCAACCAAACAATGAAAACATTACTAAAATACCATCCAATAAAAATAGAATATTCATGTTCAACATAAATCTAACTAAAAATTCCAAAAAAGTAAAACCATAATCTAAGTTTATATCCTAAAATCTCAAATTATAAAGCATTACCATAAATAGCTAATTAAACATAAATACTTAGTTTCTCCATTGAAAATCCTCAAAACAATCTAGTATAAATGTAAACTCTCCCACACTAAATCTCAAGCTCTAGATCCACCTCATGATCCACTTCTGTGTCCCAATTTATCTGCTCACCTATATTCATATTGTCCTCAATACCCAAATCTAAAAAATGTTAGGAAAGGGTTGAACAAACAATTATGAAAATTTTCTCAAACCTAAACAAGGTTTATAAAATTGATAAAATATGTAGATTTTGACTTAAATAAAATAACATATATAACTTTGAAGTACAACAAATGACAT